CTATCGCTCTCGGCTTTTTAACCTTTGTGGAAAAGCCGGGAACGATGACGTTTCACCAGCAGTATAAACACATGCGCCTCAGTGGTGCTGTATTTACTGCAAAATCTGTCCCCAACGCTCCTCCTCCCCCAGCGAGGACGCCCAGAAGCCAAGGACGAAGGTCTTTTTTAGACATCTCACAGCCCTGCCTTTCACCAGAGAGAGTCTCACGCAGACAGGCGAGAGCACGAGGCAGCCACTCTCCTTCCCACCCAATTTTAGATGCTCTGTGCAACAAAGCGAGGCACCGATGACCACGGCAACCCCATGAAGGATGGCTGGGTTTAATTAACACCCCAATTAAACACTCTAATTTACGTAGGATGAAACCAGGTCCCTGCGCCAGGGCACACAGTCGAGATGCTGCGTGAGGCTGAGCGTGGCTTAACCATGAACGTTGTACGAGTAAGCATCATACCTGCTTCTTTCCTCGCACGTCCTCTTCCTTTCGTCTGGGCTATAACGATTTCCGTTTCCTCCTGGGTCATTTCCGAGATTTTCTGCAGGAAAAGCTTTTCTAGAGCTTCTGCCATTAAGACTATGTCATCCCCTGGCTGGAGGAAAACCAGATACGGTAAATGAGACAAGGCATGTATTTCCAGAGAGAGCACTTTGTATTTCCACCCTCTTTAGCGCTGCTATTCCCGTTACGGTGCAGCGGAAAGGCGTACGGGATCCTCTCCCAAATGCCGAATACACGGACAAATCCTCACCCTTATATTTTATAGGTAAAAGCAGACGATGGGCAGGGACGTCACCGAGGAGATGCATCGGAGAATAGAGCCACCCAAGGTGCTACCTGCCTGCGGCAAAGGCTGTTTTCGGAATGGAGGGAGGAGGGAAAAAGAGACGGGAAAAGAGAGAAAAAGTGGAAAAAGCTGGATTCATGCCAGCCAGTCATTTCTACCACACGAGATCCCTCTGACTGGGTGGGTCTCATGGAAGAGGTCTCTCTGTAGAGCATCAGGTTAGGGGATAAAAAGAGCTCGGCACGGGCTTGCAAGGAAAAAACCTCCTTTTTCAGGGAGGAAGTTACGGAGAAAGTCGACTGTTGGGATCCTTTAGCTGTTTCTAAATCAGCGTGGAAGGAGAGGATGGCACTAAGCGGTCCTTACAGATCTGAAGGAGCCCGCATTTGCCAAGGTCAAGGAAGACAGAAAGGAGGACACCTAGAGAGGACGAGATCTTCTGCCCCAGGGGCACCGGCCAGAGGAGACAAGAGATATGAAGGTTGGAAATTGTTTTGTGAATAGTAATAACATTTGGCAGAGGCAAGAGAAGGCAGCAACAGGAGTCTGGATTGATGTGAAGGCCATAAACCAATGGCCATTGCTGTCACGACACGGTTGACGCCAAGAGAAGACAGTTCTGGCTCTGCCGTCCGCACAAGGCCAGTTAAAACCACGCTTGCCCATCGGACAGCGTGCACAAACCTGCCCGGCTGACGGTTTGCAGGCTCCGTGAGGTCCACAGAGATGTTTCTTTAGCTTAGATGATTTTTCTGCCTTCTAGCCTAACGGGAACTGGTGAAGATCAGGGAAGAGAGTGGCCTCCCTGATTGTGATTTAGCAGTCAATGGCTCCATGTCCAGATGGAGATTGGCGACGAGTGGTGTCCCTCAGGGGTCCGTACTGGGACCAGTACTCTTTAAAATTACATACAGTGGGATCAAGTGCACCCTCAGCAA